GATTTTTCTTTTATGCCAAAAATCATTAGGATATTAAGTAAAGATCATGTTCCATGAAGATATTTTGTAAATTATAATTTATATATACAAATGTATATATATAATACATCAAATTAATCAAATGTAATATTCATACATAATTGATATATAATTAGGCTATATGCAAATGCATATACAAAAACATAAGTTACATACACCATCAAACTACACATTGGAAAAGGGTCTTGAATCTGGTTCTTTGTCTTCAAACCACTTCTCCAAGGTAGAGCATGGTGGCACTACAGTCCACAGGAACAAGTCTAGTCTTTTCCTCAGTCCTCCTCTTTTTTCCCCTCTGCTCCCCCTTTTGTACCGCTCCCCACGTGTCGAATATATTAGCAAGCCAAATTAGGAGAGGCCGAGCCTGATGTGGGCGTCGGATTTCACTCGCGGAGGTGCGGTGTATCCACAGAGCGTCCAGTCCATGCAGCATTGGATGCTGAGGTGACCGTTATCCGGAGGTGCGCGTTATTATTAAGACACTGAGGAGATCGTAAGATATTCTGATCCCGTTTGGTGAATGGAATAGTGAATGCGGACCCGCTCACACCTGAGGGCTAGGCTACTATATGCAGGTGGGAAGCAAGGAGTATCTGCATGAGAATTCTATTTCTTTCCCATGGATTTAATACTGATGTATTAATCTTAAACAAAAACGATCTGGGCACGGGCTGGATACATCTGCATACAAATTGGATTTGAGTGAAACGGACGCTCACAGACAGTCGCGGAGCTCGTTCAGATGAATGTAAGAATCAATGTCGTTATCCTATCGTTCTCTATGGCTCAAGACAGTCTGCTTAACACAAATTCTGACACCTTTAGCGTTTGCTCAAGGGAAAACGCTTGAGTGCAGTATGATTTTAGCTGTATGATGTGGGTTATTGATCAATTTACTCCCATTCACATTTCTGTGTAAGCAAAACCAAGCGCTTCTTTGTGTGGACGAGCAGTTTTATTCATTCTCTTAGGTTTATACCCTGATGAAGTGACTGACCCATCATGGGCTCGTCCGCGTAAAGCATGGCTGTGTGGATGCGTTAAAATTAGAGTTAGAAAATTAAAGATATCGCATCTAGAAACAATCTAATCTAAGAATCTAAACCAAATCCGTAAAATTATCTAGACCTACTTAATGTTTAGCTCGGCTAAATAACGAGATGTGAATTCATTCTGTTCAGGTGTAGCCTATGGTTGTGGGGTCTATCTAGCCTATTGTACCTGTTAAGAGTTACAGTAAAACCCACAACCACCACTATTTAGTAGCCTAACACCTGAACAGAACGTGAATTCACAACTCGGTGAACTTCACACAAGTAGGTCTAGATCATTTTACTGATTAGTTTAGACATAGGCTATTTTACATAGCCTAGGCTACTCCACAAGAAGCACAAAACAGAAATAGCTTTTGCCAGAGAAAGTAGCTAACCATAGAAACGTAGTGAAGCACTTTTCGTTAGGAACGGTAGGCTACATCAGCAAAACAACGATTAGGCTATTTCTCAATTTAATAAACATTAACATCGCACATAGACTATGCTATTACTAATTAACTAATAAAATAAAACGTAAGTCTTGAATTCTCGCGACACCAACTTAAAAGGATTGAGCTCCATTATAGACATCATATTAAAATTCCTTGCAAATAGCTAGATGATTTTGACAGTCACACACTATTAGTGTTTGTTTTTTTAACTGACAGGTGATATTTTGAAAAATCCACGTCCAAAATGTTTTCTTATTAAACCGTGGGTGAGTCCACTACCGTTCCCAACGTTCATCCCATCAGTATACGGTCCTGGATCTTATAGAGAGTCACATCTTCCCAAAGGAAGGAGGAGTGGGGTTGCTACTATTCCTCGCACGTAAACGGAACCGTTCTCAGTAAATGGAGGAGCGGAGATCGGTTTCTTCTTGAGCGGCGATGCGTGCGTTCTTCCGAAAACAGACTCCCATTTTTTAACAAGAGACATGTGTTTGAGTTTTTGTAGGATTACCATATTTTTTGCTCCAGCTCTTTCATCGGTGACTGCGGCTACCGGACGCTTATATAGTATTTGCCTGCACGCAACGTGAACTGCACGCGCGTCACTGCATCACGGCATGCCTATTATTTAGGTCCCTCTTTCAAACTACACAGGCAGTAATTAGGCCTAAGTAGCATGAGCGTGCAGTTAAAAGAGAAGAGAGCAGTTTACTCACTCATGTGTGAAAGGCATGTAACGGTGGAAACGACAGAAGTGGCATTGAGGGCTTGTGCGCACTTCACAAGCACAGGGAAGTGGATGCTGCAGATGTGTATTTTATGACAGTATTACACATCTGTATGTGAATGCGTGGACCCTGGCTTGTAGTTATTAGTTTGTAGTTCCCTTACTATCAAGAACTCTGCAATATATTATGGGACTCCACTGTTCTGTGGTGAGTGATTCAAGACTGCACTGCTTCCCTTAAAGTCTAATTAAAAACGCAGCGATGTAATTTTTCTTTGTTTATACAGTTAGTTCCGGTCTTCCTAATTTGATTGGTCTTTTCAATGTTTGCATCATTGATCTTTTCAATGATGCAAACATTTTCTGTGTTTGTGTGTTCCAGACAGACTGTATTATGTAGTAGGCTCTCTCAATTAGTGGTGGAGATTTTTCAGTGACCCTTTTTGGAGGTTATTAGTCCTGTAGGTGGCAGCAAACGGGTTTTATGAGTCGGTGAATCATTCAAGTGAATTTTCATTCAAATTCAAGAAAAAGTGCTGTGTTGCTTTGAGACGCACACCAGTTCTGCTTTGGCGGAGCAGAAATAAACAAAATAACTGGAAATACTAAAATGTAAGGTGTATGGATTTTAATGGAGCAAAGATCGATGTCCATTAGACATTATCAAAGACTATGGAAATACAGTACTCTCCCATACTTATGCATGGGAGAAACTGCAACACGCATTATGGTGGAATAGTCCCGCCTTCTAAATGAAAGAGCCAATCGCTGATTGGCAAAGTCATTGCATCACTGCAGCGGCTGTTAGAAACTCTGGTTCCCATAGAAACCTGAGGCTAGACCAGCCAATGTGCATGCACAGTCTTAAAGGGGTCATATGATGCGATTTCAAGTTTTCCTTTCTCTTTGGAGTGTTACAAGCTGATTATGCATAGATAAGATCCCTGAAGTTGCAAAGACTAAAGTCTCAAAACCAAAGAGATATTCTTCATCAAAGTTAAGACTCTGCCACGCCCCCCTAAAACGGCTCGTTCTAACACGCCCCCACATATCTACCTCACTATGTGGAAATATTTGCGTAATGCTGCCCAAATGTGCACGCAAAGAAAGAAGGCGTGGTTTCAGTAACCGCAGTTAGTGTTGAAGCGGCCATGTCAGGGAGATGGTGTGTGTTTCTAGGCAAAAGCAAAAGCATTTTATTTGGCATTCCGGAAGTTGATGCATTTAGGAATCTTTAAGATTACTTACAACAGAACAGCAATGCATTTTATGGACAACCGTTTCGTGAACCTAGGAGAGGAGGTAATTCTGACTTTACTATGACAATCTGGCGCTTCTGAATAAGCTACTGTTTTGTTATTAGTTTAAGTATTTGCTAATGACTGTTCAAGTGCGGAGTTTTGCGCATCATGTGTGTGTGCGTGTGTGTG